CAATTACTCTGCCCTGTGTTCCATCCCAGCGAATGACACCTACCAGTGGCTATATTCCAAAGAGTTGCATTGCAACAAAGGCAGCCGACCTCGGTGTTAGCTCCTCCGGCAAACCAGGAGCAGTGGTCATTATATTCTCATTTCTCATTAGTATGTAATGAGTTTCCCTCGACCGCGCGCGCGCTCGTTCGCCATTATCGATAGTGTTAAATATCTTTGGTTATCCGATAAGGATCTCTCGTTTATTCTGCTCTGTCTGGCTGTGCCCATTCTGCGGAGTGTCCTTTGCCGGTCCGTTTGCATTGCCTTCGCACCCGGCTGGTGGATCCGTCCGTGTCCGGAGGGAATTGAGCAGTTTTGCTTGGCTTTTATCTGGCTCTTGCCATCGTGTACTCCGGAACGTGTGAAAGCTCTCGGTTGCAGAACAATCCGGAATGGAATGGAAAACTAACGACAAGATGATCAGACACGGTGCCCTAGAGCTACTCATTACTGTACAATGGATTCGAAGTAGCCTGGCTGGGTCTGCCACTATGGGCACGAAATACATACGACTTGTTACAAGCTTCCGTTGTGTTGGTGCTCATCGAAAATCAAACCTCAAGGCAAGCGAAAATGTTCAAATGAAAAACTATAATTTCAGCGAGCTTTTTGAGATTTCTGAAAAGCCACGCGATGTACTTACTAAGTCGCTCAAAAGCATTCTATTTGCGAGAAGCAAGAATCCATTAGTGATTCGACAAGAAAGTAATTGGCGTAGCTAATGGGGGTGCAGATTTTAGTGTTTCAAATACTGGCAATTGAAATTATATAAATCAACAAAAAATTCTGGATGGGGGTAGGCACCCACATTAGCTACGCCACTGCAAGAAATGAATTGAGTTTCGAAAAAAAAAATCCATTAGCTAGCCGCTCGCTAGGGTTGCAACATTTGAGTGGAGCACTATCCAGTGAAGCAAAGGGAGAAACAGATTTAAATAAGTCTATAGAATATCTAAAACCTGAAGAACACTGTCGGGAACGGGTAAAAGGAAAGCACTGAGAAAGGAGTGAAATCCATTAATTTAATTTTGAATTTGTTCTAGTCGATTTGCTCGACCGGGCTGGTTTTTTATTCGCTTCCAGGAAGGAATGATGGCTACTTTGAGGAGGTAGGTACGGGGTACCATTTTATGAACTGAATTGGGTCAAATGGATTTCAAAAATTTATGAGATTTTCACTTTGTACTATTCCAGGTGGGGAGGAGGGGGGAGGGGTTATTTGAATAATAATTTATTGGAAGGGGTACCTTTCCAGGAGGAATTTGAAAGAATATAAATCGGAACTGTCTGTGCACATGGATGTGGTTTTAGAGAAAACTAGCAGCCTGCAGTTCTATTCAAGAAAATTTACACAAGTAAACGCGTTCATTATAAATTTTCAAGAAGGACCATCAAACTTTCCACGAAAGTCTCCGTTAAATCTAATAATTCTTCGCCTAGGACTTAACACCCACTAGTATAGGAAGGTATGCTGCTGGGGAGACTCACGCACATGATGGTTGATGTACTGGTAGACACTTGGCCTTCTTCGTTAACGCTCGTCGAAGGAAGAGCAACTTTGGTCCGGATTATGGTCCAACTATAGGAAAGTTTCTCAGCAAAACTTTTGTTTCAGCAAAACAATTCATACATGCACTGCACACCGGTGGTGCCTGCAGGTATTATTGCTTAGGTGGAGAAACTTAAGATCTACTGCTGCCGTTCCACAAACAACAAGTATGCATTTAATTGAAGTGTTGTCTGCTCTGCGAACCATCTTCGTCACCGGCGGATCAACAGAGCTTTGTTGAAGTTGCTGGGTGCAAAATCACCTTCACAACAGGAGACGGAAGACATTTTAATCAGTTCCTGAATACTTTGCCTCGGTTTAGTAGTAGGTGAATAGGCACTACACTCTTGAGCAGTGGATGGTGAGTGTTTTCAACTCTTACCGAAGAAATTTGTAGGTGGTATGCTTAAAGTAGGATATAATTTTATCATCGTCCTCCTAGACGATTTTCCTACCTGTCAGAACGTGAAAATGGCCGTATCAGTTGAAAATAAGACATTTAATTGCGCTTGAAGGCCTTGATTCAGGCAAAGGACTTGGCTCTGATGGAATACCACCATTTTACCGAAAAAAGTAAAGGTTTGTGTCCGAAGCCAAGCCGTTGAAGTAGGACTACAAGATTACCTTTGCTGCTCTCTTCAATAATATATTAATAACAAAATAAACCGCTTAGAAATTTAACTATAAAATTGACAATTTTTTAAGCATTTTTTTTTAATTGGGCGGTTATTGAATAAATCCTTAATTCAAGATTTAATTTTCGAAATTAGAAAATCAGTTCCTTTATTATTCATAAAAAGGTTTGTTTGTCATGGCAAAACACCTTTAGAAATCAAACTTCACCTGACATCACAAATTTGTATGTTTCAGAACTATGACAGGCAAGAAGTTTTTAACTGAAACTCATTTAGGGGCTGTTCATTAACTACGTAGACAGTTTTTTGGGATTCTTGTACCCCCCTCCCCCTGCGTAGACAATTATCCACACATTTTTTTTTAAATTTGTGTGGGCCGTGGATAATTTCCAACCCACCCCTAAAATATCTACGTAGTTTATGAAAAGCCCCTTAAGAGAACTTAAATTCCTTTTATGTTTACCTGTGCTGAACTTAGAATCTTTAAAATAGCAAACGTTGTAATCAAATAAATGGAATGTCAATTTGATTGTTCCATTGTAGCATATTAAACTCCCAATAGGATGGATCCAACACTGCATCGAAAATAAGTCGTAAGAATTTGTTTCTGCCCAAATCTTCATAAATATTTCAAATGAAAGAAGATTTTTCAATTATTTATGTCATACCCTTCTTAAGAAGCACACAAGCACAATTTAAAAACTCTTCTTTTGGTACTTTTATGATCTTGCATTTTGGCCTTGTTAAACATTTTTAATTTTTTGATAAGACAGGTTTTTCGGACTTTTTCTGCACATCGAACAACGTTTTTTATAATGTTGATTCATGATATTAGATGATTTAATCAAAATCGTAATCGAAGATCTTAACGCTCAGGTCAGCCAGGAGGAGGATTTCAGACTGGTTATAGAAAAGTTCACCGCTCGCCAGCTAACAAACGCCAACGGCCTTAGATTCATCGATTTCGCCGCCTCTAAGAACATGGCCATGCGTAATACCTACTTTCAGCATAGCCTCCCATATCGGTACACCTGGAGATTACCGCAGCAGACAGAATCGCAAATCGACCACGTTTTGATCGACGGACTTCTTGGACATTATCGACGTCAGGACCTATCGCGGCGCAAATATTGATTCGGACCACTACCTTCTAATGGTCAAGGTGCGCAAAAAAAATCATTTTGGCAACACGTCTCAATCGTCGGTCTTCGGTTTTTGTTTACGTCTGGAACTTTTCATTCGTAGTTAATGTTTTTCGTTTTAATTACTCGTTAAGTGTTTTTTTTTCGTGCATCGAAGGGTTATCCGTTCACTACCGGTGATACCAAAGTGTTTCGTGTATTTGTTTTCACGGTGTCTACTGTTTTGTGAAATCGGCATAGTGGTTATATATTGCCATTGTTTACCCACTCACGCTCGCGTTTGTCATTCAATACGCCATCTATCAAACAATATTGGAAGCTTACGTGCTGAATGTAAAAGGACATTGCCTACATTTTGGCGCATCTCATCTACCGTCATATTACGGAGAGTTGGAACACTTCGATTTTTGCCTGTGCTGGACGTTTCCATCACCACAACAAAATGGATACATGTCAAGTTTGCCCGAAGCCCTTAAGCACGGGTAAGGTAATCACGTGTAGTGGAACGTGTGGTACAACATATCATCAAACTTGCATTGGCTTAACTAAGCTTCAATTCGCATCCTGGTCTGCGGGAGTTGGGCTGTTTTGGTTCTGCTATTCCTGTCGCCTAAATTTTGAACCTGCCGTCTACGACCGTGAAAAAAAAATTATGAAAGCTCTGCGAGAGCTGTTGATTCGAACGGATTCAATGGATACTCGGCTTGGAATCTATGGTGAAAATCTCCGCAGAATCAACAAGACTATTTACGGGAAACCTCATCAAACAGTGCAAACTTATCAATCGACATTTCTGCACGACCTGGATCAGCTTACCCTTGACGACACTGCTGAAGATCCCATCAACCGGTCAAGGTCCTGCGAAGAAACGTAATTTTTCGAGGTACTCGACGAAATCAACTGTACCATTGCTAAATCAGCGGAACAAATCGTGATCGGATCCAACAAACGTGTGCACATACTTCCGAGCAAGCCGTCCACCACACCAGCAGCTTGTAGCAGGTACACCAAGTGTACGTACATGTTGTAAATAGTAAATAGTAAAATAAGAATGAAATAGATCTAATCCATACGCCAAAAACTATGCCAGTAGCAAAACGACACTGGTCAATTTACTATAAAAATAGAATGCCTCGTGAGTAAAGCCACTCGACCTTGTACAATTTCTCCCAAGGCCGAGTCCAGTGAAATCTTCGGGAAAGTTGGGAAAAGAGAGAGTGTGGCTACACCCGACTTTGAACGAAGGACCAGCGATCGGAATAATCTCTCGCATTACCGATCTCGTTCGAAGAAGTTCGCGGGAAAATCGAACTTCCGTTAAGTTCGGCCGAGGTCACCTTCCCTAATCTGAGGTCACGGTTTCGCTTCACTTTCGTCCGAACCGCAGATTGCAGTGGAAGTGTTTCGTTTTGTTCGCGTGATTGTTTCGTTTTCTAAAGTGAGTTTAAACAACGTGGTTGTACTTTTATACTTCAATTCTAATTTCTCCTCGTCGTTTGTTTAGTTATAGTTATAAATCTAAACGTAGTGTGCGTCTTAGGCTAGGCTTTGTGTGTGCGAAAAATAAGCTAGATCAGGTAATGTGCTCGTTAAAAGAAATCTGTGCATTGTGCTTAATGTTCTTTCCCCCAGCCAACGGCTACGTTTACGCTTCCAACGTCAGCATCTGCATCCCCGGGGCGAATAATCCCGGCAACCGTCACCTTGTCCGGTGGAAAGCGATCCGCATCTACATCGCTGAGCGGGGCTTTGTGGTTCATCCACCCACGTGGAAATCGTTGGCCGTTCACACCAACGGTCGAACGCGCATCGATCGACGGTAGCATCGTCGCCGCGCCAGTAACAGCAGCGCAGCAATCATCAGCAGCTAAACCAACTGGTGAGTCCGTTCTGTTTTTTTTCGTTGAGTGTGGCGTCCGGCGAGGGCGCCACGGAGGACATTTTTTGCCGACCATAAGGTCGAAGAGCATGAATTGCTAACATTTGGAGAAGTCCAAGAATTGTAAGGTTGGGTGTCGGTAAGACAAACGTGCGCACGTAACGTCATACATGGATGCCCACCCAACCCATCAATGTTAGACACCCGGGTGCCAAGCTTTGCCGTTCCCCGCTTGCTGCATCGTCGTGGGATTCGTCAAGAATAGACACAAGAGCACAGCACAGATAGGTAGTTACGCACACAAGGATAGGACCAGATAGAGAAATAGAATAAAGAGGAGTAGAAAATATACAAACAATGGAAATTTCGTAAAAGCATGCATTAGTTCATAATAAAATCTCAACTTACCGTTTTCCGTTGTGAAATAAATGTTTGATTTGAAATTGATGTAATGTTGTTGATTAGTCCTATCAAAGATTAGAATGGGAGGAAAAAAGTATCTTTACGTTGTTTTCGGATCCGTTTAATTATGTTGTTGTCTTCCGCGTGATCGGAATTTGACTGTTATGTTGCGTACCTCTTTTACGGCAGCTGCGCCTCTGGCGGAATTTAAGGGAAACTACCGATGAGGAGAACTTGACGTGGAACGTCGTTTAGGGTTTGTGTATTCTCTTACCGGGAGCTTTTTGGAGTTATTTCGATGTTGTGAGAGATTATGCTGTTTCGAAATAGAGGTTACTAATCGATCAAATTCGGTAGTAGTCAAGCTGGCTCGATCTCTTCTTTTTAGGAAGATTTTCACTTGGACTCGCCCTGGGGCAGTCTCATCCGGGCAAACTCAACGTGGCCTGCGGTCTCCTTTACCGGAGTGGCGCTTAAGCCGCAGGCTTAACCGAGATCGGCCAGTGTCGATAAAAACAACAACAACGCGCCACGTATCAATGGTCCGACACCATCCGCTCAAACTCAGCAATCAAATTCTCACACTGCTACTGCCATCACTTCGGATCCCAGTAACACTGACTCTCGCGTTGAAGATAACAGGTCTCACATCGATTCTGCTACTGAAGCTGGCGGCAACACCAGACCGTACCTGAGGATTGCAACGAAAGATCAGACTGACAACGATATGCTATCCTTCCACGTGACCCCCTTCGCACCGGACCAGAATCAGAACGAGTTGTTACAACATGTTCACGACATCACCAATGTTGATCTGACTCAAGTGAAAGTCACCAAACTAGTCCCACGCGGAAAGAGTCTGGATGATCTTACATTCGTCTCTTTCAAAGTGACCGTACCCAAAACGGCATCGGAGGTGGTTGGTGATCCGTGGTATTGGCCTGAAGGGATAACTGTCCGCTTGTTCGAACCTAACCAAAAAAACGGACCCGCAACGCATCATCAAAGATCTTCATAAATCGTCCCTCTCTCATCCCAGGACGCACCGTATCAGGCACTAAGGAAGTTCCCAATCCACCTGTCACAGTCGGGCTGCATCCTGAGCTCAACTACCAACATCGAAGTCGTCCTGGTCCTGTGTTCAGTTCTGGAGTTGGGGGCTTCCAAACTGCCCTTTCAGGCAAGTATCTTTCTGATCATGTTTCATCTGACGAGAGCAATTTTCCTCCGGTAATGCCTGTCGCTTTTAGCTGTTAAACCTCAACCTCTTACGAACCGGTCACCCATGACGGATGCAATACTGCAATACTCGTAATCACTCTTGTATGAAGGGACGGATACCATCAGTGTTCATCGAGCCACCGGGATGCATGCCTGCAAGCTTCATGGAAGCCCAAAAACCCCTCGTCACAGTTGAGCCATTGCGGTCAGCGCCCTGCAGACATCCAGGTCTTGTGTACGAGTGTGGAGTGTGGCACAACGAGGACAATTTGCCTCCGGTAATGTCTGCCATTTCTAGCGGTTCAACGTCAACCCCATTCGATGCAGCCGCTCAGTGGTGTCACACGGAAGCCAATCAACGTAATCGTGCCCAATCAGGGACATCTATTTCATCAGTGTTCGTCGAGTCACCGGGATGCATGTCTGCAAGCTTCATGGAAGCCCCAAAACCCCTCGTCACAGTCGAGCCATTGCGGCCAGCACCCTGCAGACATCCCGGTCCTGTGTATGAGTGCGGGGAAGGGGTCTTCCAAGCCGCCATCGCAGGCAAGTATGCACACGTTTCAAACAGTTTACTTCCCGTGACATTGGTCGATTCCAGTTGCCGCTTGTCAACGAATGTGGGCTTATCTGCCAACCAACGCACCACGGAAGCTCTCGGATCTACCTCACCAGTGAAGAGCCGTTCGAATGGCGTGTCATCTGACCGGTTGTTGTCGGTATACTATCAGAACGTTAGAGGCTTGCGTACCAAAATCTCCCGTCTTCGCTTGTTTTTATTGAACTGTGATTACGATGTTCTCGTGTTCACTGAAACTTATATTGACTGATATTGACAGCGCAAAAATTTCGTCCGAGTATACCGTATTTCGATGCGACCGTAGCACATCGACCAGTATTCACTCACGGGGAGGTGGAGTGCTGATCGCGGTCAAAAGGCATATAGTCTGTGAACCTACTTCGCCGATACATTGTGAGCAACTCGAACAAGTTTCAGTTCGTGTGAAATCTGGACGCCGCTCGCTCTACATCATTGCCATTTATCTTCCTCCCAATTCGTCCCTCGACCTGTATTACGCTCATGTGAACGCAGTGCAGCTAATTTCGGAAAACTCGTCAACAGCTGATGTGATTCTGACACTAGGAGACTACAACTTCCAAGTTTACGGTGGCAATCAGACGACGACGTGAACGGCTTTATCCCGTCAAACGTTTCCTCAGAAATAGAACGTTGCCTCACAGAAAATATGTTTGCCTCTGGTTTGTGTCAGGTCAACGATGTTGTAATACTAATGGCAGACTCCTCGATCTTGTGTTTGTCAATCTACCGGAGTACTTTGACCTCATTGTACCCTCAACTCCACTTTTACCAATTGACGACCATCACGCACCATTTATCTTGCTTCTTGACGAAAGCTGTAATGGCACAATCACAACGGACGATGGGGATGTGAGATTCAACTTTAATTTTCAGTCGTGTGATTTTGATCGTTTGGATGACGTGCTCTCAAACATCGAATGGGATGCTCTACTGCGACGGGAATCATTGGACGAGTCTGTATCAGCTTTCTATGATAAACTTTACGAAGTTCTTAGTGACCAAGTACCTCAAAAGAGACAACGAGCTTCTTCAGTCTACAACAAGCCATGGTGGACCTCTGAACTACGTCATCTACGAAACGTCCTCAGGAAAGCACGCAGCCGTTTCTTTCTGATGAAGTCCGATAGTGAGCGGAATAACCTTCAGGAAGTGGAAACAACGTATAAGGCACTTCTCTTTTCCACGTATGAAAGTAACATGGCTAAGATTCAATCAGATGTCAAGCAAAATCCTTCATGTTTCTAGAATTTTGTTAGAAGCCAAAAATCGGCTACTCGTATTCCAACTAACGTTAAATACGACGAAACCATCGCTAGCTCTAATTCGGAAGCAGCAAGCCTATTCGCCAAGTTCTTCGAGAGCGTATTTAGCAAATCATCGCCTGTTCCTCGCTTCAACCGCTTTGCCCATATTGCTTCACCAGACATAAATCTACCCGACGTTCAGTTTTCCGTTGTCGAAGTGGTGAAAGCCATTGAAGAACTCGACGTTGATCAAGGACCTGGAATGGACAGTATACCACCCTTGCTGCTGAAGAATTGCTCCACCGCACTTGCATCTCCCATAACATCTCTATTCAACCGTTCACTGCATGACAGGATGTTCCCAGTGGCTTGGAAATTAGCTTCTATCATTCCAATCTACAAATCCGGCAACTGTAATCGAGTAACGAACTATCGAGGTGTTTCTGTCTTGTGTTGCTCGAGCAAAATTTTCGAAAATCTGGTGCATAACGTTCTGTATAACGCCGTATCTTCATTAATCTCCTGCAGCCAACATTGTTTTAATGAAACAACGCTCCACGACTACAAATCTGATGTGTTACGTCAACACCTTGTCTAGCGAAGTTGAACATGGACAACAAGTTGATTCGATTTATATAGATTTCGCCAAGGCCTTTGACACTGTACCACATATCTTGGTCATAGACAATATGGTACACATGGGGTTTCAGGAATGGATAACGCAGTGGTTGTTCTCGTACCTGTCGGACAGAACCGGTTGTGTTGTAGTGAATGCGGCACAATCCCAGCCGTTCAACATCACGTCCGGTGTACCCCAAGGAAGCATTCTTGGGCCGCTGATCTTCAATATCTTCGTAAATGACTTGTGTATGCTGCTCTCTTCTTTTAACCTTTCTTTTGCCGACGACTTGAAGATTTATCGTGTCATCACTTCTTCAGAAGACTACATGGCGTTGCAAGAGGACATAAACGTTATGCTCGTTTGGTGTAGCCATAATGGAATGCGCGTGAACAGGGACAAATGCAAAGTTATTTCGTTTATGCGACGCACCAGGCCCATTGTCCATCAATTTAAAATTGAATCCGTCATACTGGAGCGAGTTCTATCGATTTGTGATCTGGGCGTTACTATTGACTCAAAATTGGAGTTTAACGAACATGTAACTAGCTATTATAAGCGCCAAAGCATTTTCTGCACTCGGATTTATTCGTCGACATGCTTCAGATTTTACTGATGTGTACGCCATCAAAACGTTATATTGTTCGTTAGTGCGAAGTATCCTGGAGTATGCTGCTCCTGTATGGACACCATTCTACGCGACGCAGATCTTAGCAATTGAGCGTGTGCAGAGGAAATTCATGCGATTCGCTCTACGCCAGCTTCCCTGGAATGACCCAGTAAATCTTCCTTCTTACCCCGACCGATGCCGATTGATCAACTTAGAAAGTCTGTCATCGAGGCGAATTAAAATGCAGCGTATGTTCGTGTTTGATGTCATCACAGGAGGTATTGACTGTCCTGCATTCCTTGAGCAGATACCGATCAACATTCCTCCACGTCGCTTCCGAAGTTCACCTCTACTGTCAATTCCGTACCACAGGACGAACTATGGGCATCACAATCCACTTGATTCGTGTCTCCGGGCTTTTAATGAAGTTGACGACAAATTCGATTTTAACGTGTCCAAAACTGTATTTTTCACATAGGATTAGGAATTAAGTCTAGAAAATAGTATTAAGTAGTTCAATCTGTGCGACTTAGTGGAAGGCGGTGATCGTAAATAAATAAATAAAAACTTTCCCTTGCCAACAACATTCGGTACCGACGCCCGCCACGGTACAATCTGGAGCGACTGAAGCTGCCCTAAGTCGCAACTGAGTACGTGCAATGCCTCGACGCAGCGCTGCCGGATGAGGGAGAGCTCACCGAAGCCCCTCTTGAGGGCTACTGGAGCAATGTGAAAGCAGCCATTAACAGCGCTGCTGAAGGCGTCGGAATCGACGGAACGATTGGTTCGACGAAGAGTGCCAGATGGTTTTGGACGAAAAGAACGTAGCGCGGGTGGTGATGCTGCAGCAAGGGACCCGTCATAATGTGGAGCGATATAAACAGAAGCGAAGACAGCAAACCCATCTTTTCCGAGATAATAAGCGCCGCCTGGAAGAGCTGGAGTGCGAAAAAATGGAGCAGCTGTATCGTTCTTAAGATACACTCAAGTTCTACAAGAAACTCAACGCATCCCGCCAAGGCTTTGTGCCGCGAGCCGAAATGTGTCGGGACAAGGAAAGGGGTATATCTTAACGGACGAACGTGAGGTGATTACGGCGCAAAGGCGGAGGACCAAGGCGGCAGGAGGAATGGCTTCGTCGGTACAGCGGATGAGGATGCTTAAGGATGTTAAGGATGCTATCCGACAGCTTAAGAACTACAAAACAGCTGGGAAAGATGGTATCGGAGCGGAACTTATCAAAATGGGCCCGGATAAGCTGGCCACTTGTGACTGATAGTCAGGATCTGGGATACAGAACAGCTGCCGGGGAGTGGAAAGAGGGAGTAAAAAGGCGACAAACTAGAATGTGAGAACTATCGAGCGATCACTATTCTTAACGCGGCCTACAAAGTGCTTTCCCAGATCATCTTTCGCTGTTTATCGCCACTAGCTAGCAGATTTGTAGGAAGTTATCAAGCCGATTTTGTGGACGGGCGATCGACAACGGACCAAATCTTTACGTTGCGGTAGATCCTTCAAAAGTGTCGTGAATATCAAATCCCTACGCACTACCTATTCATCGATTTCAAGGCCGCTTATGATACTATTGGTCGTGAAGAGCTATGGAAGATTATGGACGAGAACGGTTTTCCCGGGAAGCTGACCAGACTGATTAGGGCTACGATGGATGGTTTACAGTGATGTGTGAAGATATCGGGTGCGTTATCGGACTCGTTTGAAACTCGCAAAGGATTTCGACAAGGCGATGGTCTTTCCAGCCTCCTGATCACCATTGCGCTAAAAGGTGCGAGGCACGATCTTCAATAAGTCCAGCCAGTTCATCTGCTTCGCTGACGACGTGGACATTGTCGGAAGAACGTTTCAGGCCGTAGCGGAGCAGTAC